TGCATGTATGTATGTGCACCATGTGTGTTGCTTGGATCCCTGGATCTGCTGGAGCTGGAGTCATGAATGGTCATGAGCCACCATGTGGCCATTGGGTCCTTTGTAAGAGCAGCAGATGTTCCCAACCATTGAGCTGTCTGTTCAGCTCCTTGAAAATGCACTTTTTTGAATAAGCTGGCCTTATTATTCATTCCCCAGGTCCATCATCATTTTTACAACTATTTTTTCTCCCTTTCCTTTTCTGTTTTTCTGAGACAGGGTCTAGGTATGTAACATAGGCTATTACGTTATAGATCTTCCTTCCTCAACCTCCAGAATGTTGGCATTACATTGTAGATATGACCCCTGTGTCTGGCTGTATTTCATTGGGATGTAGCTCAGTTGTAGAATACTTGGAAAGCCTTTGTGAAACTCTGAGTTGTTCCCATCACACATCTGTAATCCTAGCCCTCAAGATGTTAAATTAGGAAGATCAGAAATCTGAGGTCACCCTTCTTATGTAAGACCCTGTTATCTCACCCCACCCCATAAAAGAAATGCCTATAATATTGAATATATTAGGTAGTTTTCTTTGTAATAGCTAACTATAAAAACAAGTAATTGGAAACAGATCCACATGTCTAACACTGTGGAATTAAATTGCAGCCTCTTGTGAATACTGGATGGCATTTATTTTACAATTGTTCGAAATTAAATGCAGTCTAAGCCAACAATAGTGATGTACATCTTTAACCCCAGCATGCGGGAGGCAGAGGCAAATGGATCTCTGTGAGCTCAAGGCCAGACTGCTCTACATAGCAAGTTCTAGGACAACCAGAGCTCCATAGGAGAATCCTGTCTCCAAAACATAAATAAACAAACAGCCTGTTATGGTACTCTGGGAGCTGAGGTTGGAGGGTAAAGTGTTGATTTACTTGCACAGTGTATAATGTAATGTGTTTTTATTGTTCTTACTGGTTTTGTTTGTCTCCCTCAGATTTGTTTTAGGTTAACTATATTATTTTTTGATAGACAAGTTTTAGGAACAGATTTTTTTCCTGTTTTTAATAGTCTCTCTAAAAAGCATACTACAAGCCAGTCTGCTTTCATCTTGTTGCATCTGCCTGATTGGTACATGGCCTTTCACAGTATCCTGAATTCTTGTTTCTCTCTGTAAATAAAGAAGGTTGAAATTAAGTTTGTTTTATTTTTACATTTTAAGATACAGTCAGATTTAGAGTTTCCCGTGTGAGTTTTATTTTTTTATTTTATGTAGTTGCTTTGCATGTATGAGTAATTTTCCATTTTTCTTTTTTATTCCCATTAGACAGAGTTTCTCTGTAGCTTTGTAGTCTGGTCTCGAACTCACAGAGATCCACCTGCCTCTGTCCCCCAAGTGCTGGGATTTAAGGCCTGCGCCACCACTGCCCAGCATATGTGTAATTTTCTCATCTGCAATAAACTGAATTGAGAGAGCCATGGTTCCAGAAGAGGACATCCTTTGGCTGATTTCTATAAAATATGACATGTGACTGCCTTTATCAATGTGTTGATGTTATAAATGAAATATTTTTAAAACCATATACATATTACCAAAATATTAGAATCCAGAATATCATTTCAAATATTATTGGTGCCATTGTAACACTTGGCTTGTTTGTGGCTCTATTTTTATCCCAGGTTTGTCTGAAACTATGTGGGCCATACTGTTGGCAGTCTTCTTGGCTCACCTCCTTTGTGCTAGAATTACAGGCATACACCATCACACCCAGCTCAACAGAACCTTCTGAAGTGTGTGTGTGTGTGTGTGTGTGTGTGTGTGTGTGTGTGTGTGTGTGTCAGTCCGTCAGTCCGTCGCTAGGTCTCTTCTCCCACTGTGTGGATTTCAGGGTTTAAGCTCAGGTTGTGAGCTTGTCAGTAAGCACCTTTACCCACTGAGCTATCCTGCTAGCCCAACAGAACATTGTTTTTAATATCTTTTCATTTTTACCCTTGAATACTAGGTTTACATCATTTCCACTCCTGTCTTTCCTCTGTGTTCCCTTCCCGCTTGCTCTCAGACTCATGGCCCCTCTTTAGTTCTCACTGTCATTTTGTATACGACCACCGAGTCTGCTTGGTGTTGCAGATATATACATATATTTTAATACCACCACCTGGGGTAACCTATCGGGCTTGTCACTGGAGAAATAGGTTCTCTCTCAACAGCCATTGACTACCTATTGCTCTTCCATTTAATGGTGGGTCTTTTTGTAAATGTCCCCCTCCAAATGCCAGCTGATGTCATTACGCAGGTCTTGTTTAGGTAACCCTATTTTTGAGATTCGTGGATGTGGCTTTCCTGTTATGTCTAGAAGATGTAGATGTCCTGGTTTTCTGGCTCTCACAATCTTTGTGACTCTTCTTCCTTAGTCTTTCCTGAGCCTTAAGTATAGGGGTTGCATTGCAGATACATCGGTTGTGATCAGGCACCACACGGTCAGTTATTCTCTGCATTTTGACCAGTTGTGGATCTTTGTAGTAGTCCCTACCTGCTGCAAAAAAGAAGCCTCTTTGATAAGGGGTGAAAGCTCCACCTACCCGCTGAGCTGGGGTGTGAGGTGTGTAACCTTAGCAAACAAACAGTTACTAACTTAAGAAAAATTGTTTTAAGATTTATTTTTATGTGTAGGGGTGTTTGTATACCATCTGTATGCAATGCCCTCAGAGGCCAAAAGAGGGTGTTGTATCCTCTGGAATTGGGAGTTTACCACCATGTGTCAAACCAAGGCATTCTATCTTGACAAGTAGCCAGGGCTCAGCAGCTTTTCAATATCCTCATCTCTTTCTTTGAAACAAAAATTTAATGCCTTTCCACCTATAGTATGAGAGTCTAGGTTTACAGCCCTGGAAATTTTGTTTTGTTTGTTTAAACCCTACTTCTGTTTTCAGCTAATGTTCATTCAGAGTCAAGGCCAGGTGCAGCTGACAATTGAGCTTCTGGATACAGAAGAGGAGAACTCAGATGACCCTGTGGAAGCAGAGGTATGGACAAGTATATTTCACATAGACCTTGCCTGGCTGCCTTGAATTTGGGGGGACTGTAGCTCCATAAGGTTTCTGTGATTATGTTTTTAGGATTTACTTTCTGTCTGTCTGTCTGTCTGTCTATCTATCTATCTATCTATCTATCTATCTATCTATCTATCTATCTATTTTTGAGGCAGGGTCTTTGTATATAGTCCTGGCTTTCCTGGAACTTCATCTGTAGACCAGACTGGCCTTAAACTCAGATCTGCCTCCTGAGTGGTGAGATTAAAGGCTTGTGCCACCACCACTGGTTGAGGATTTAAACACTGAGCCATCTCCAGCCCCTCCCTCCATAGGTTGTTTTAACAGTTGTTTAGAATGTAGTCATTCCAACTATGTCTGTGTCTATTTATACTCACTTTGGAGGCAACAGTGGAATTAGCTGTCAATGCCTCCTATCTTCAGTAAATATAATTGACAACTTAACTTTTCTTGTGTTTGTTTTTGTTTTCCTCTAAATGACTAAATAGTAAATGAGGTACTTTTGTTTGTTTTGTGGTGTCATTTGATATAGTATCATGTTTACTTTTTAATTGAGCTTAATGAGCCCAGAAATTTTTTTTGTTTGTTTTTATTTTTCAAGACAAGGTTTCTCTGTATAGCCCTGGTTGTACTAGAACCAGCTGTTGACCAGGCTGACCTTGAACTCACAGAGATCTGCCTGCGTCTGCCTCCCAAGCGCTAAGATTAAAGGTGTGTGCTACCACTGCCCGGTAAACCCAGGAATTTTTAACTGTGTGTGTGGGGGGGTATTATCATTTTTCTGCAAAGGCAATATAAACAGGGGCCAGGCCATATAAATGATATTAAGGAGAATAAGAAAAGACCATTTGGCTTATATTTGCCAAAACTACTTTTTTCTCAAGAGATGTCAGAATTCAACATATTGATGTGGAAAGTTATTAACTATTTTGCAGTTTCTACCAATTTATTTTTTTATTTTATTATTATTTTTTTAATGGTTTTTCAGACACGGTTTCTCAGTGTAATAGTCCTTGAGTCCTGGAACTCACTTTGTAGACCGTGCTGGCTTGGAACTCACTGAAATCATTCTGCCTGTGTCTCCCAAGTGCTGGGATTACAGGTGTGCATCACCACCACCTGACTCTAACAATTTAGTTTTGATAACTATCTCAAATGTACTGTCTTGCTGCCTAACAGAGTTTAAATATGTATTTCAGTACCAAGTAACAAGCTTGTTCTATAGGGAAAGGGCATTAGTTTTTAGTTTTATAGTTCTGAGCTTCAAAGGCAAGCCCTTTACCACTGAGCTATTAACTCAGTGACCCCCCCCCCTTTTTTTTGGATAGGATCTTCCATATGGCTCTCACTAGCCTCAAATTTGCAATCCTCCTATCTTAGTCTCCCAGGTGCTAGAATTACTTTGGTAAACCACAACACTAGGCTATTTTGTTCTTAAAATCTGTAGTCTTTGGACAGTTGTGGCAGAATTAGACTCTTGACATAGCTATTCTTTTTTTTTTAAGATTTTATTTATTTATTATGTATACAACATTCTGCTTCCATGTATATCTGCACACCAGAAGAGGGCACCAGATCTCATTATAGATGGTTGTGAGCCACCATGTGGTTGCTGGGAATTGAACTCAGGACCTCTGGAAGAGCAGACAGTGCTCTTAACCTCTGAGCCATCTCTCCAGCCCGACGTAGCTATTCTCATGATCTTTGTCTGACATTTCTCTTCCTAGCGTTGGTCAGACTACGTGGAGCGATACATGAGTTCTGATACTACATCTCCTGAACTTCGAGAGCATCTGGCACAGAAACCAGTATTTCTCCCAAGGCAAGTCCAGTTACCTCTGGTGGTAATACATACTGTTCACAGCTTGGGTGGGGTAGGGGAGGGGGGCAACTTTAGATTCTTGGTTTCCTAAATTGTTCATCTGTTATATCTGCTGAGGATGTGTTAGCAAGTTTGTTTGCTGGCTTACCTGTAAAATCCCCAGCATTCAAGAGGTGAGAGCACTAGAGAGCCTGTAGTCCTCACTCCATCAGATGGAGTGTGTATCCATGATCAGTGACTAGCAGAACTCAGCAGCTACAGTTGTCACAAGAAAATACAGAGCAGAATTAGCAAAAGGAAGAATTCAAGGGAGCTAGATACAAGCTTCTAAGAGTCCTCTCCCAGTAGAGCCATACAAGACAAGTCATACAGTTCCTTCAGACCAATATTGCGTTTGGAATGCTGCCTCCCAGATATGCTCATTAGCCTGAATGCCAGGCTTTTTATTGCATGCCGTTGATCCCAGCACTGAGGAGGCAGAGGCAGGCAGATCTCTGGGTTCAAGGCCAGCCTGGTCTACAGAGCAAATTCCAAGACAGCCAAGGATACACATAGAAACCCTGTCTTCCTGTCTTGGAGAAAAAGAGAGGCTTTCTTTATGGAATGTACTAAAATTCCAGACAGAAGAATAAGCATTTTAGGTTCTGTGAGCCACCTTTGTGGTTTTGGGGGTTGTAGAAAGGGCCCCCAAATCTCTTTTAGCTGCTGTGTAATTCTTTTCTGTATAGAACTTTAAATTTTTTCCCATATACAGGCAAGTTTAATGCTAATCCTCTGATTTTGAAAACTATTTTAGAAGTAGAAACTGGATAGATAACACAGGTAAGTGATTTATACCTGTGATCGTGGTACTGGGAAAGTTCCAGCACAAGCATTGCTGGGAGGTCAAGACTAGCCTTGGGCTATATATACCATAATGTAGTCAGAAGGTTCTGTCTTGCTAGTCCCACAGCCCTTTAGTTCCAAATAAACACACAAAGGCTGTATATTGTAAACTGTGTGGCCGATAGCTCAGATTTCTTATTGGCTAGCTCTCTTAATCATTAACCCATTTCTAGTAATCTATCTCCACATGGTCTTGGGTTACCAGTGATGCCCAGGTCTCCTTTTTCCTTGGCAGCTACATGCTGTCTCTCTCGAGACTCATTCTCTGTGTTCCTCTCTCCAGAATTCTCCTAGTCTGGTAGCCCTGCCTATACTCCCTACCCGGCTACATCCTGCCTGTCTATTGGCTGAAACATCTTTATTCATCAACCAATAAGAGAAACATACAGACATACATGCCCCATCACCATACAACCCTTCTGTGTTAATCAGGATTCTCTAGAGGAACAGAACCTAGAAAATGAATCTATGTTTATAGAAAGGGGATTTAATAGAATGACTTAAAGGTTGTGGTCCAGCTAATACAACAGTGGCTACCTATTTGAATGGAAGGTTCAAGAATTCAGTAATTGTTTGGTCCACAAGGCTGGATGTCTCAGCTGGTTTTTCGTTGTAAGCCAGAATTTCAAAGATGTAGGCTCTAATGCCAGTGAAAGAATACTTGACAGCAAGGTGAGAGCATGGAGGCAAGGAGCTAAAGTTTCCCTTTCATGTCCTTATATAAGCTTCCATCAGAAGGTGTGATGGGTCTTCCCAGCTCAAAAGATCTAGATGAAAGGTGTGTCTTCTTACCTCAAAGATCAGATTAGAAGTAGATCTTCCCACTTTAAGCAAAAGTCCTCCATGTTACAGGTTTTAGTTAAATTGAGAAGCACATCATACCCTCTAATAAAACAGTTGCACACCCCTTTAATGAGGCAGAGTCAGGCGAGTTTGAGGCCAGCCTGGTCTACAGACCAAGTTCCAGAACAGCCAGGGCTACATAGTGAAACCCTGTCTCGAAAAACCAAAGAAAGGAAAGACCCTCAAATTCTTCGACACTATATTCAAGGTTATGGCGTTTAGTTCCAATGAGAACATGGAGAGGGAAAGAAAAGGTCTTTCCAGGTTCCCCACTCATTGCTCCATTTGGCAGACTTTGAGCAGTTGTCAAGCTCTTCTCAGCAAAGTGGACATAGATTCTATATAATCTCATGTCATGCTTTGAGACTTATTTGTTTGATTGGTTTTTGTTATTTTCAGACAGGGTTTCACTATGTAGTCCGGGTAGGCCTGGAACTCAGTTTGCCTTTGTCTCCAAGTGCGTGGATTTTAAAGGTGTGCACCACAGTTTTCAAACACTTCACAATAGAAATCGATTCTCTGGGGCTAGAAAGATGGCTCAGTGATTAAAAGCACTTGTTCTTGCAGACTACCTGGGTTCAATTCCTAGCACCCATATAGCAGTTTACAACCATCCATAACTCCAGTTCCAGGGAATGTGATGCCCTCTTCTGACCTCAGGCACCAGGTACTTACTCATGGTGCACATACATACATACATGCATACATACATACATACATACATACATACATACATACATACATACATACATACATGGGATAAAAACACTCACACATACAAATTTTTTTTTCGAGACAGGGTTTCTCTGTGTAGCTTTGGAGCTTGTCTCTGATTTAGGTAAACATTAGTTATAGTAAGCAATTTTCTATCATGAACTTTCTGATTATACTGGGTAACTTTGTTATAAGTATACAATATAGGCAAAAATACAACAGAATAAATTAAATTTGCTTTTCTAATTTAAAATACAAAGTAAATGTTGATGGGTTTAGCCTCGATATGTCCATGTGCCACAGAGCACATGTTGAAGTCAGAGATCAACTAACCTGTGGGAGTTGGTGCTTTGCTTCCACCATGTGGTCCCAGAGATTGGACTTCATTTGATGTTCCTGTCAACAAGTGCCAAGCCTCCTCACCAGCCCTGACTCCCTGTCTTTTGGGCCTTTATGCATTCTTAGTGCTTGAGTTCCCCAAGAAAACATTGACTGATTATGATCATGCTTGTTACAGTTGTTGTGTTAGAGACTAAAACTGAACAAACGAGGATGTGGCTCAGTTAGAGTGTTTGCTCATCAGGCACAAAGCTCGAGTTTGACCCCTAGGCTGTAATAGATCAGGTGTCGTGGTGCTTGATTGAATTCCTGCACACGCACGGCAAGATCAGAATGAACATCATCCTTGCAGACCAGACAAACAAACAAACCAACCAAGATATGACGCCCACTATGTTTTAATACATGATCTCACTGAAAAGCTGATTTAAAACAAAAAAGTTCACAGTGATGTTTTATATTTTGCAAAACTTTTTTAACAAAAATGAAGAAATTGTAGTCTTGCTTGTATATGGAACTGTAGAGAGTATTTTCAGACTCCTCAGATGGTTGTAGATCCTGATCTTTGACGAATATTCTCCAGGTGGGTGTTCCAGATGGTAGAAAATGTTTGTTGAGCATGCCTGATCGATCTGGACTCCATACCCAGAAACCCATGGTGGAAGGAAGCAAAGCAGATTTCCAAAGGTCATCCTCTGACTCCATATGTGTATGTGTACCACATACACTATTAAGTTTTTTAAAAAATTTTACAAATGGCAATATGCAGTGTCTGTGAGCTTTGTATGGCATTAGCATTAGTTTGTCTTGTGCCTTGAGTAAATTGTTTTCATAGATGACTGAGTAACTTCTTCATATGATTAATTATTTGGGAGGTATTAACTTTACTAAGTATACTAAATAAATATCTGTATTTTTTACATTATTCCTCCAAAAGTCACCCTTGTTTCTGCCAGTGCTGTTAATCTCATTACAGATAACTTTCAAGTACTGGGAAGCCATGGAGCTTATGGTAGTTATTATCAGTTTACCAAATGCTCAGTTTTATTCAAAGGTTCCAATCTTATCATTGGCAATAAATATGTTGTTTTCCTTGAAGAAACGTGTACTTTTGAGAAAATATTTTGCATGTTCCCAAGACTAATTTTTTATTCTGTTGTTTTCATTTGTAACATGTAATTGCTCCAGTAATTGCTCAAGTACCTTTCAAGAATATTTTTTTCCTTTAATACACAAAAGGGCTTTATCACAGTACACACCGAAAAAGATGGAAATGGGGCTGGAGAGATGGCTCAGTGGTTAAGAGCACTGGCTGCTTTTCCAGAACTCAGGTTCACTTCCCATAACCCACATGACAGCTCACAATCATTGGAGACTCTAGTTCTAGGGAATTCAGCACCTCTCCTGGCTTCGACTGCAGTGTACTAACATGGTGCACAGCCAGAACACTCGGAAAAAATAAAATAAAAACAAAACTTAAAAAAAAAAAAAGACAGCCAGGCGTTGGTGGTACACGCCTTTAATCCCAGCACTCCAGGAGGCAGGCGGATCTCTGTGAGTTCGAGGCCAGCCTGGTCTCCAGAGCAAGTGCCAGAATAGGTTCCAAAGCTATATAGAGAAACCCTGACTTGAAAAAACAAAACAAAAAAAAACAAGAAACAAAACAAAAAAAGACATAAGATTTCATAAACAATTTGATGACTTTATTGTGTCCATTTTTTATAAAAGTAAAACCAGCTTGTTTGGTGTCCATCCATGGTCAGAAAAGAATACAAAGGTTTCTAAGTGTGGTTTGTAGTATGTAGATACTAATAGGACATCTCTGGGAAAGATAAAAAGTAGACCTTCAAGTAACTTTCTGTTACCTAGTTTAGATGAGGAACTCCAGTTTAGAGGCAATGGGGTAATAAATTGGGATACTTTGCTCTGTAGCTGTTAAAGAGAACAAGACAGATTTGTGTACTGCACTGGAAATAGGTTAAGTGAAAAATGGAGAATAACACATAGTATGATCAAGGCTGAGGCTTCAAGTAATTATATGTATAAAATCAGTGAAAGCATTGCACATTTTTATATATGTGTATCTAAAATCATAGTACGTATTCTTGAGGCACATAAGGAAAGAACATTTGGTAAGAGTCATGGGGATCTGTAGACAGATGGTCTCTCAACCTGAAGGGCTTTCTGCTTTGTAGAAATTTGCGGCGTATCCGAAAGTGTCAGCGTGGTCGAGAGCAACAGGAGAAAGAAGGGAAAGAAGGAAACAGCAAGAAGCCCATGGAAAATGTAGAGAGCCTGGATAAGCTGGAGTGTAGGTTCAAACTGAACTCCTATAAAATGGTATATGTGATCAAGTCGGAGGACTACATGTACCGGAGAACGGCTTTACTCAGAGCTCATCAGGTGAGAACTGGTGGTTGGGATGTCTCTGCATTTCCCAAGTGCTACTGCACTGGCCTGGTATATTTCCCTTT